GGACACAAAACCGAGCTGATGAATATATCTGCTCTAAGCATGTTTGTTTGAGCTAAACGATTATTTAGAGTTAACTTGTTCTCTTAAAATAGATCTCACTGACAATAGATAATCCTGTAATCACATTATTTTTCTCACTTTTGAATATTACTGTAAATGAAAATGAGATTGTCGTTATACGTACACCATTTCATACGCTAAATACATCCTCTTTGTTACGTAATTCACAACCTGCGATTATATTCTTCAAACATTCGCCCAACATATTCATGTAGAGCTGTTACGTATGCTCTCAATTACGTTATAATCACTTTCCCCCACCATTTATAAAGCAGATATCTCATACCAATTTACAAGGCACTACAAATGAGAAAACGATCAAAACTGAATATACATATTTTATTCCTTCACCTTAATGACACGGGACTCAGTCAAAACAAGACACCCTATTCCATTGGTACAGGGATAAAACTTGGGCACTGTGGTAGAGTATAATTCCATTATGGATAAAAGTTTGTTTTGATAAAATCACACAGTGTTATACAGTAATATTAACTGATGACATTTCAAGCACAAACTATTGCTATTGATATGATTATGAGCAATAGTTTGTGCTCAAAATGTCATCAGTCAATATTACTGTATAACACTGTGTGATTTATCAAAATAAAATCTAATCCATAATGGAGTGTTTCTGTTTTCTTTCAAATGCAGCATTTGTAAATTCGATAACAATAAAATAACTATTAAAATCCGGAGAGGCTTGTAAAGAGAAGAATTCTTGGTGGAATTAACACGAAATCGATATTCGGATCCCTGTTCATAACTGATCTTTCCTGTGGCCTACTTATATCACTGTGCTACTCAAAATTTCCTTCCAGCCTCATGCATCTACTTCACTCTGTTCTGTGTTGCATCGCAAAAGCAACTCACGTAAGTTTTTGATTGACTTTCAACCTACCGACATGGACTTTGAGAAGAAAACGAAGGGAAAATATTCTTGAGAATTCAGTCATGTTTCTGGTAGAGTGACTTTGCGTCATACGATATACTGTCAAAGAATGTTTACTTGAAGATTCTATACGGGGAGTGAATATTTTACAAGAAATAAGGCTAAGAATTCAACAATGTATTTCAACATAATTCCCAGAAAGCTAAAATTAATACTACATTTTTAACTATAAAATCATGAAACTCCATGGTGTGAGATTCTGAATAATCACATGAAAATAAAGTTAAATGAAGTCGCGCTATGTCGTGAATTGGCAGAATTTAGAATTCATGGACTGGCCATTGAGTCCGGTGACAGTGGCTCAATGGTCTACGAGCTCATCTTGTAACCAGAAGGTCCTGGCTTTGAACCCTGGCGGTGTGTGCGTACTGATTAGGAGCCCTAAAGTGGGACGAAACAGCTATCCAGTAACCCCGGTTTTCCAACGGTTCTCTAACTGATATCAGCCCAAGATGAAATCCTGTAATCAATCAATTAAATCCCTACAAACCAATACTTGAAAAGACTTCATTGTTGTTAAATGGTACGGCAGATTTTACCCCAGCTAACTTTAATTTTGCTGTTGTTGGGGCTTTTGTGACTGCATCTAACTCTAGGAACTTCAGGCTAGCGACTGAACAGAATGCAATGATTGATTTCCTGCATTCAGACTATAACACATGAGTTTAGGTAGTTTCATAGTCTCTGCTCCGTATTATGGTTCACATTCGAAGTTACTTATGTCTGCTAAGTGTTGTAGATATCCACACTTATATGCGAATAAAGACTGCTTCTTGTGCTTTTATGATCCTGTCCTACCACTCTCAACTACATGTGTGCACCTGCAACTGAAACAATTTTATACAGATAAGTGAAAGTGGATACATCTTCTAGAATAATTCCGATGGTGGTAAGTGACACTTGTTGTATTTAACTGGGCATAATCATGAACGCTGTACACTTTATGTTCGATCAGAGTCCAGCCTCTTGCTTCCTATGTCAGCCTGCTGGTCTTTGCTCAAATGTCTTTCAGCTTGTTAGGTGATCAAAATCCCATAGAACTTTTTAATCCTCCTTCCAGTTCCCACTGTCTGTTACGTGGTCCAGTCTACCACAATGAGGAGTATCATCGGTGGCAGTAGGCAAACTTGCCTTACTCCTATCTTCAGTTCAGTAGCTTTACTAAACTCTCCTTTGCAAATCAATCGGCACTGGCCGTGATCGCATAGCTGCTGACTGAGGTTCATCAAAATAGCCTCTCTTCCAATCGACAGACACATTGTTTTCCCTTCAAACTCTCTGTTATAACAGCACCAGTTTGTGTGATGAGGATTTTGGGTTCTCTTTCCAGTTGAATTTCTGGTGGAGTAGTAGGTGATGGTTAACTCAATTGTCTTTCCAGGCGGTCCTCCCAGCATTCTCCTTCAAGTGTGCTTCATAGCTTTATACTTCAGTTTATCAGTAATGAAGTCAAATTTCTCTGTGTTACTAGCCTATTTCGAGGCTTTCCACTTGATGACCTTCAAGGTTTCCTAGACTACATAATATTCTGAAACTGTGTCTGCTACTACTTCTAATTTTGTGTCCAGCTGGTTTTACCTCTTCTGATTCTCTTTTATGATTGGAATAAAGTCTAGCCGACATTCGGTGACCAAATGAAACCCACATCTCATTGTGTATATTCTTGTGCTTCTGAATATCGCTACCAGTCACGTCTTAATTAAACCCTTGGAAGTTTCTGAAGATTTCTCAGTTCCCATGCGCTTGAGGAAGTTCATCTTGACCTATTTTTAGTTCAGTTCTTCTGCTGTTTGCTTCGAGTTTTTCTAATCTGCTATATTATCAATAATATCGTTCCAGAAATACTTTGACTGTTGTAATAATTCATAAATAACTATCTGTCCAACCAAAATTAAGTAAACGGAATCAAAATTATTCTGAGTTTAAATTGAACATGTACTCTTAGCTACTGGTTATCTTTAGTTGAATTGCATACACTGGAGCACAGGATGAAGTTTAATCAAACACGATGAAGGTTTAATTTTTGCGGTGTTCTTAAAAATAGATTTTTGTGGATTTATTTGCACGAAAGTAATCACATTGTTGGATTCAAGATGTTCACATACTTCATCTTTAATAATTCTTCCTCATGATTTCAAATTCAGATAGGTATGCATTCTAATGTTATCATTTAGTGGTAGATGCATGATAAGTGATTTTGCACTGGGAAACGTCATTTTATCAGCCATAGATCATGCATTCTACATAATCGGAGAAGAAGACAATTCTTCAAGTTCCCATAAAGAAGAGGATAGCAAGAAACACTAATAAGAATCAGATGGACAATTAAAAAGTTGTCCTTTGCAATTAATCGAGCAGCTTTTTTCACTTGCAGTCAGCATGATAACATTAGGTGATATTTCTGACAATTTCTAACAATTCTTCACCAACATTTCATTTGTGTCTGAAATTATACTTCCTATATTATTAATTAGTAGCCAGTAAATTTTTCATTTATCATTTCTTTAGTCCTTTAGCCAAAGTTATTGATTTCAATAGATATTTATCATACTTGAATTGAATAAGTATTTGATATGCCCTGGCGAAATTTCCTTCTTATGGTTAAACTGTATTTGATGTACATTTTCCCCATTATGCCCTACTCTCAGTTATTGTTTATTTTATGTAGTTCCTTTGAGTTCTGAATTGATAGGATCCCGCATTAAGTAGTATATCATCATCTCTCACGCACGTTGCGATTAATTCTGAGATCAATCAGTTCTCCCAGCTGTGAGGCCTACTTTATTGTTGTAGAGGAAATGTATGAACACCATGTGCTGTTGTTCTTGTGATTACAATATACAGTCACAGGCCAGCCTTTGTCTTTTGATATTTACGTGGCTCAATAAATCGGAAGGTACCACAGGCAGATAGGTATATTAGGCAGGCGCAGACAGAACAAAGTGACACTGAAGGCTTCCGTAAACAAGAAGCCTTTATACATATATATGTAAATATACGACTGCAATTCAACGGCGATATATCTAGCGAAAAAATTGCAAAAAAGTGAAGAAATTCAGTTGAAAAGACTTTTAATGCTAGTAAACTACAAATCTTACCTAGACTGGACCAGTCACTTCTAATTGTATCTACCAATTCAACTGCACTCACGGAGCGAGTTATATTGGCCTGCTTGGGGAAAATCTACCAATGTGGCTAAGTAAAGGTGTAGTGAAAACAATCAACAGCTGGATATTAGACTACCTGGTCCAAACCGGACACAAAGTCAGCATTGAAGAATCTTTCTCCATTATCTACCGGGTACCAAATAAATTGCCACAAGCATCCAGGTGCTGCATACTCCAAGCATCAGAGGCTATCGCTATTTGTCTTCAACGACCGGTGCTCTGTGTAGAGAGGAAGCAAGTGCAGCCAGCACTAGTACTGCTCTGGCCGACCTTCAGTAGAGACTATAAATTCATGAATTTGTATAATGATTACTTCTTCTAATTTCTCTGACATTTATTCATTGTATTGTTATGTTGATGCTATCAAACTGTAATCCATTGACATTATTATTAGTGATTCCATGTTATTTAAACAACAGTAATGTTGTTAATAACACTAATTTAGTCACTATTATGTATATATATAACTGCAAGAGCGGTTGAAGAAGGCGTTATCGAAAAGAATATTCTTTGTTCAGTAATCATTCTTTTGAAAATGGCCATTTATAATCATATTTTCAATTCCTTGTCATATCTGTCATCTAGAGCTAAAAGATTAGCGTGTTATAATGTGTATACGTGTCGAACTGAAAAAACCTGTCCACTTGAGTTAAATATAGCTGAAAACATGTGAGTGTAAAATGTGTTTCAAAAAATATTCATTTCGAAAAGGAAATCAATAAATGATAGCAGTGTTAAACAATAAAATGATTAGTACACAAAGTGCTCAAATATTTTGAAGGAAGATCATTTTATCGTTCACATACTTTACTTTTGGCAATTTATATACATATATATATAGCACATATTGAGAAGAAGAAAATGATCACTTGTATCCAGGTAATGAAAGGAAACCAAAGTAATACGATTTGGGCCATCTTCAAACTGCTAATGAGTTTTAAACACTGTCCAGTTAAGAATAAACCCTGTTTTAGACAAATGAATTATTATTTAGTCATTAGAAATTGTATAGATGACATTTTTTCTAAATTAATAGTAAATTTAATACATTCAAAATGACCTCATATAGCCGGTTTCCTTTATTAGTTTGTACAACGAAAGAAAGAACTTATTTGCAGGATAGTATTAACTCGATTCTGAGAAGAGGATGCTATCGAAGGACCTTGACCTAACCTCTGTATACAGAAAGATAGCATGACTAACCTCTCACTATTCTGGTAACTTTCATACGATAGTAAAATGACCAGCGCGATTCAATAATTTTCACTGGTTCACTGATTGTAGGATGAAATGAGATCCATCTCATTTCCGACTTCCACAGACTTATCCAGTGTTATCTTCACTGTCGAAAGAAAAGCCTCGCGAACACGCTATACTTGCATACACATTGCTTTACTGAGACCTTAGCAGTTCGGATGGGAAACCCTGACTCATGCATGTGCAAAGAAGAAACTTCTCCATTACCTACTTCTTCCTGGATTTATAATTTTTAGTTAAATTGTTATCACTAATTTGTTATAAACACTATTATGTGTATTTTCCGTACGATATTTAATATCATCATTTTTCCTACTAACTTTCTAGTTACTCTTTTTACTGACAACACAGTTTGTTTTTGATATTTGTCACCACTCTCTTTCCTGAAGACTTAGTTACCTCTGAATGTTTTCATCATATTACGTAACCGTAGTCTAAACTCACTAATCTTCACCCCTCCGCTAAACATAATCATGACTGTTCATCAAAATTTTTGAAATATTTTGATGATGTAAGCAAAACTCCAAGGCTGACAGTGTTATACATTATTATTTACTGATGACATCTCGAGCAAACTGTTTTGCATATAGACGTCGATAGTTTTGACAAAAGGTATTTTGAAACTGTATTAGAGAGGAAGTGTCTTTGATATCTTTTCAGTTTATGTAATTCCCCTAAACACTTAGTTGATTTTTATACATTTAATCACACTAGCTCTCCAGAAAATGAAACCTGGGCATTATCAGTTCATGGTCTTAATGGATTGTCAATTAATTGGCTTGAGATAACCTGCAGAAATTTAGAAAAACCATTCAACTACTACACGTACACACACACACGCTCAAACAATATGCAATGGAAACATAAGTTCGCTGATGTTTTATAGAGATAAAGTAGTAGTGCTGTGAAAACTGATAATCAGTCAGTATATATATGTCAACGATATAAGAATAAAACTTGGGCATTGTGGTAGAGTGTAATTCCATTATGGGTAAATTTTATTTTGATAGAGTCTCACAGTCTTATACAGTAATATTTACTGATGACGTTTCGAGCACAATTTATTACTGCTCATAATCATATCAAGGTAATCACACGACTTCCTAAATTCATTTGTATAGTTCCATTGTTTTTCACTTGATTTTCACTTGATTTGATTGGCAGTATTATTTTCCATATTTCGGGTATGAGTGATGATTCATTCCTAATGCATGTGTTGGGTGTAGATTCGATGAACAAAGATTCAGTGAAAGTGTCATCCACATATCTCCACCATATTTTTGGAGTAGGATTAAACGTATTAAGTGCCATATTTTCCCAGCTATCCATAAATATATCTGCTACAATAGGGATATTGGTGATCCCATTGCTACACCTTCAGTTTGTCTATATATTTTGCCTTGGAATTTAAATATAGTAGATGTGAGGCATAGCTGAATCCCTAAAATAATTTCTTCAATGGACAGCTTTGTACTATGATTGAGTTCAGGATCCGCAGTTAGTTCTTTTTTAACTGCTTCTAAGGCCATATTGACTGGTATATTAGTATAAAGACTGGTTATATCAAAACTCACCATTGTTTCATCATTCCCTAGTTGTATGTCATTTAGTTTATTTTTCATTTCATATGAATTAGTTAGTCTAGAATTTGAACAATTTCTAATGGGGCATAATATTAGAGCTAAATGTTTTAATAATTCATATGTAGGGGTATTTCTAAAATCTACTATTGGTCTTATGGAATAACCTGGCTTATGTATTTTAATAGTACCATACATCCTACTAGCATTATTAGTTTTTGGCATTAAATTGAACCATTTTGACTCACCCAGTGACGGCTTCATTCTGCGTACTAATTCCGCTGTGGATTTTTTAACCTTATTCATTATTGTATCTACGGGCTTCTTAATTTCCTCATATGGACCCATTTCAATATGTTCAGTGAGTTTCTTGATGTAGTCAGATTTATTCATTCAGATTTATTTATATGTCAACCTTCTGGGTTATCAAGTCACATGAATATTTACAAAACAATTCAACATCTGACTTACCAACGATATAGCTAACATTACGCATGCAGCACAAAATATGCATCCAGCCGCCTGTAAGTAACAGACAGAATGAATTGTGGTTTCATTTTTGATGAAGAAGAATTTATACGTTCACTTTTTATAATATATATGAAAAGCTTTAATTTATCCTCAAATTCACAATTTGCAAATTGTGTAGTAATTAACAATGTATGCTGTTCAAGGAGTAAAATTTACACCATAGATTGCTTAGAAACCAAATTATCCAGATCACATCAGAGTATGTGATCTGCTTGATACTATAAATGGTAATGAAGAAAGCAAGTTTATTTGTAAAAAAGACTATATACTACTGATTGATTGAGGTGAGTAGTTGTGTACCACCTTGTCATATGAACCAGTAGTGTTTGCCAGCTAGATTGAGGTGATCTCAACAGCGTATTACTATTTATGGTATCAAGCAGATCACATACTGTGATCTAAGTAATTTGGTTTCTAAGAGATAAACTGTGATGAAAGTTTCACCGCTCGGACTGTGTACATGGGAAGTTCCTATCTAATTTGCAAACTGTAGTTGGTCAGAAACCGGATGGTTTGAACTGATTCGGCTCTGTGAACTGAGTAAACCCACGGACACTAGTGAGGGACTCAATCTAAAGTGTACGAAACGAGCACTGTTGGTTCGCAGGTACTCATCTCAGCCAATCAGTAGCATATAGTTTTATGCATTTATTTTTGTTCTCCCTCAGTGCAATTTATTCTACATGTTATCTGCTAAACGACTTAAAATTATGTGGTTTATCTGATGGTTGCAATGACTTAGCATGAATACTTAGGTGTCCTTCAGTAGGGTTTTCAATCAGTCAATATCAATAAAACTCCTCTTCCTATAGATGAGATCCTAGCATTTTTATGAGGCTGCAACAATGATATTAAGAAGTCGACCATTACAAATGCCTAGCTTCTAAGTCGTAATGCAAAACACATCAACCGTAAATTTAAAATAATCGAGAATAATGGCGTTCGATACACTAAAAGAGATAGTGAATTGTTAAATGTGCCATTCCAATTTATAAAGAGGTTCTGTGGAGTGTAGTTAAAGAAGTCTGGCAAGAGATACTATGTGCCGATTGTAGTTTTTATCCTCAAGCTTTTCGAGTTTTGCGGACACACACAGTGTTTACAACTGATGGACGGTTCTGTTTCCAGATACCTGTGTGTCTCCCTTCACTCCTGTATTCTTCTTAATTATCCATATATCCTAGAATGACCAGGAAGGAATTCAGTTCTCACCAACATCTAGGACTAGACGCATGACATTATTTAATGTCCAGTCAAAGTATCCAATGCGCTCCAACGGGATGTCGGTGACGAGTCTGAATAGCTCAGTGCTAACGATTCTGGTTGTAGCACGTGATGGCATGTTTTCGAATCTCAGAAGCGACATCATTTCCTTGCAGATAAGCCTTGCTCACTTTCGAGCCCTCATCAAGCACTAACCTAAGTGCAATATTCCCTGTCGATTATCACCAACTACCTAATAAGGATTTTGAGATTTTTAGTAACGATGTAGGAGGCGAAATACTTTGTATATCATTCTCAATCATCAAGATGAGTTTAATTCTTTTACTGGATATGCCACTTACTCCATAGCCATTAATTCTCAAGGGAATTAACAGAAGAGCACCCAACACGATTAATCCAATAGCGACTGCCAACGCTGTGAGACTGGCTGTCTCGCACACTTTCCTCGTGTGTCCGATTATGACTAAAGTCCAAGCTATAACTACCGCCAGAGTCCATGGAATAAAGATCACAGATCTCATGAATGTTGTTAGAACAGGTAATTCCAAAGACCATAACAAAACCTATGGAATAAAATGTATAAATCAAGTTTGAATATGAAATTACCACGGTTTTTGTTGAGAGGAATTTTTAACTAATGCAATATGTGTAGAACTTGAACACGGTAGCAGTGTATAAGGTTCTTGAGGCTCTATAATACAAATACATTGACTTTAGTCTACAACTATTTACTGACTATCCTAATGAAGTAATGAAAACTGATGAAAAGCAGAATGGGATATGATTTAATGAAAGGCTAGGTACATTTTAAAATTTTTCTTTATACGCCTAAATCAAATATAAATAGAAGGCCTATCTCTTGATCTAAAATTTTTCTACAGATATAGCCAGACTAATCACCCAGAGACCGAAGTTTAATTCGGAAAGTTCTATACTCAGACAAATGATTTAATTTCTTTCTTGTGAGTTGGAGAGATTTAAAAGTACTCTGATTTAAACTTGTTATCCAAATGGGAAGCGACGAGTGGGTCATCGCTTCGAGGGTGATATGGAGGAGATCATGTGAAGAAGAGATGAGAGAGTTTAGTCAATCGTGGATCCAGCTGAAGAGGACAGGAGAAGACAAAACAAAGTGGAGATGTGTTGTTGAAGCCCTATGTTCCACTCGGAACTCAAGGGAATAATATAATAATAATAATCAGTTTAAAAACAAGAAACACCTACTCAACCACCTAAATACACAATAACACCGAGACGCAATGCATGAGTTCAAAACTCATGATGCGCTGACAATAACCACACCTGACAAAGGATCTGGTACAGTTATCATGGATCACAGTGATTGTAAAGATAAAGTGAATCTTCTCAGTGATCAAATAAAATTCCAAAAATCGGGTAATTGTGAAGATACAAATGAGGTCACGAAGCGAACAATTACTATGACACTGCAATCACCTGTGGTGAGAAATCGCATTATTAAGCCTATTCTTGACAGATTAAAACTTTCAGAGATTCTAACACAAACTCAGAGTTTACGGCTAACTGAAAACCCGCAAAGCTGGAGTTCAGTTACGTCCTAACCATTTGGTGGTTGGAGTGATTATCAAAAGCAATGGAATCTTTACACGGCGTAAAGATGTAATAAGTTTTGTAGAAACTACCAAAAGTCTTAGACTAATTAAAGCTTCTCTTTCCGATTTTGTTAAGTTTGATTTTGCCTTCTTTTGATTTTTTAGGGTTAATGCACATTGTGCTCGAACCTCTTCTGCTGTTGTCTTATCTATTAAACCTAGTGCTACTTCTATTTTAGGAATGACATCCTCTGGTTTTAATTTATTAACTGTTACGTTGAAATTTAGTCCTTTCTCCAGTACTTTTATCTCACTAGAGCTTAGTTCCCTTGATAAGAGGTTGATCAACCACTTTGTTCTGTCGATAGAGGATGAAGCGTTGACATTAATTTCATTTGTTGTGTTCTTTTCTTCAATTAGTTTGTTGAATTTTTTTATTTGTGTGGTTTTTGATTTTCTCAGTGCTGATTCCCTAGCTTTTTCTGATGTTTCAACAGCAATTACATAATCTTTGTCATTGACCATACATTTGAGTTTGTGTTTGAGTTTTTTGATTTCATTTCGTATATTATTTAGTTTCACAGTAATTCGATGTAGTTCTTCTCTTAGACATTCCTAACATAGAAGTAGCACTGGGTTCAATAGATAAGACAACAGCAGAAGAGATTCGAGCACAATGTGCATTAACCCTAAAAAATCAAAAGAAGGCAAAATCAAACTTAACAAAATCGGAAAGAGAAGCTTTAATTAGTCTAAAACAGGATAAAAATATTGTCATCGCAAAAGCTGACAAGAACATCTCGGTAAACTACCAAAAGCTTGGATTTCAGTGAAACAAAAACGATGTCAAACTTCCTGAAACTGTTATTCACATATGTGACCAACTAATAGATCAGAAAACAGAAATAGGAATGACTCGTGAAAATGTTAAGGAATTACTTTTCAAATTCACAATGAATGTTCAGTTTACATTCATTAATGCCTTCTATAAACAATTCAATGGATTTGCGATAGGCCTACCAGTGGAACTTATGCTAGCAGACATTTTCTTGGCAAAATTTGAAAATGGTTCGTTAAAAAGAAAAGATGAATGAACTTCAGTATTACTGTCAGCAAAAAGATGACAATAATTTTATGGAGGAAAAACTTTAACAAATGAGACATTCTGAATGCTGTCAATAGTATTCAACCATTTCACTTGTGGGGAAGATGAAAATAACAGAATATGCTTCTTAGACGCCCTATATACCAAGAAAATGGAAGGATATTTGTAAAACTTGGTCAGGTCACTACATCAATTTTCATAGTTACACACCATATCAGTGGAAAGGGAATTTAGTTAACCTGAGGCGAGTAGTAGTATACCATTCATATCAACCAGTGGTGCTTGCTGACCAGCAAGATCGAGTTGATCTCAAACATCTTAATTCGACTTCCAAAGGAAACTATGGAGAAAATTCTCCCATTGAACTGTGCACATTGGAATTCCTCAAGGGATATAATTCCTTAAAAAACATATATGTATATATGTATTATACAGTATGATAATAAATTCGTTGAAGAAGTTTCTTCGCTAAAAATTGTGTTCCCAATGTTACAATGGGAATATTTAAATTATAAAATTAAGTGCCTTAGCTATACAAAAAGATTCTTAGACGAGTGCATCAGTGTGTTAACTGAAGATTACGATACAAGAAAACAGATATCCGGGACACCTGTATCAAAAGTACATGCTAGTAGCTAAAGAGAGAGAGAGAGGTTAATGCTGGATACAAAGATTAGAACACATTTTCAATGCACTGTATTTTTCTGTGCAAATTATTGAATTAAATAAATAATAGAGTCTGTTGGAGTACAAGAGGAGGAAGTAGTCTGAGACTTATATATTGACAGATCCACTACTCATTGTATATACAAACCACCTCACAGATATCTAATATGTACAGAGGTCAATATTAGCTTTCATTGTGTTGTACAAGCATGTTGAAACATGTATTTCACTGTACTCTACAAATGCGTTGTATGCATACTTGGTTTGGGGTTGGATTCTCCACTGACACAGTCCTTCACCCGTACCATAGTAGGCTTGGTAAAGAGTGAAGGTTGGACTTGAAATTGGCAACCTGACTCCTCAAAAAGATAAACGCCACTGCCACTGAAACTTCAATGCCTCAGGCTTAAAGCCCAATATTCCACTCGGAAAGTAAAGAAACAAAAAAATTATGTTAAATGAGTTACTTTCCTATAGTTAAGGACTTTCAACGACCTATTATCAATTTCTTCGGAATATATAATACACACATTGGCTTGAGTTGTCGTTTTATGAAGATTATTTGTGACTGATGGTCAATAGTTTGTGTACAAGATAGCAAACAGTTATTCTGGTAAAATGTCAAACTTACAGTAAGAAAGCTGAGCACATAATTTAACGGATACAGATATTGAAGTTTCTTGACAAGAATCAACACTAATATTGGAATTATACCAATAAAACTGAAAAAGAGGAAAAATGCAACTAGTTAGACACAATAAATAGAAACTTTTATTCATTTTCTGGTGTCACTTTTATCGCCATTGAAGCACTGGGTTTAGAGCTGAACAAAAGACTTCTGCAGCACAAAGCCGTTTTACTCTGTTACCTACAATCTTGTTCAGCTGACTTCATGGTTGTCCATAAGCTTTCATCTCATTCTCACACGATTTCCCGCATATCATCCTCTGAGCCTTAACTAGCCCTTTTTCCATTCAGGGTTTCTCTTAATGGCCTGGCACATAATGTCACTCATGTATCTCCTCAAAGTACATCCAATCAATCTCCATTTTCTTCAGCATACTTGCTGGATAGTTCTCTGCCACAGAATTCTTATGTTGCCTATCCTTTCTGACCATCTGATCTTCATGATCAAGCTAGAGAAGACAGCTTTTGATGAAAGTCTGCAGCTTCTTGGAATTGCTTTTCTAAACCATACATAATCTTGAAGAATCCCACCTTGTCCCTTATACCGTATATGGCAATTTTCCACACTAATTCCAGGTTAATGTACCATCATGTCGCTTCTCTAACCCCGCCTTTGACATCTACGCCGTCTGAAGTTTGAAAGATGCTGCCATAATGAATGATTAAAGTGGCTCCCTTCAATTTTCTTTCATTGATGGTGACGGATGCTCAGTGTTGCTGGTCGGTGCGTTTGTTCATCATGTCCACCTTCTATATGCTCACTTGATTACTTGTCTTCTATGTCAGCCCGTCCTCCCAAGTTGTTGGTTTGTGCAACATCAGACATGAATTATCCACGAAGTTCAGATCTTCCAGTAAACTGTAACTGGTTAAACGCACGCCACTTTTCTTGCTACCTAAGTTCAGCTGCACTATCAAATCAACCATAATCAGGAATATCATCTATGATGGTAGGCAGCTTTTTCTCTTGTTCCTCTTTTCATTTCAGTGGCTTTGTTAGGTTTTTCTTTCTGGATCACTCAAAATGTGACATCATCACAAAACTCGTGAGTCAGCTTGACAAAAATACCGGGGACTCCGTAGTGTAGAGGCAAATTTCTAAATAACTTCACGGTCGATGCTGTTGAAGTCCTCTTCTAAAATCTAGTGTCTATTAGGAAATATGTGTAGTATAATTTTAAGCTGAACAACTCACAAGTACATAACTGGTATGTAATTATCTGCGTATTTACGTCGAATAGTTGTTCTAAGAAAGGTGATTTGTAGAAAAAATAGGCATTAAAATACAGACTTACATGGTCGCTATACAGATTGTAATAATCATTGTTATGAAAATCATTAAACCCGTAAGAAAGATGTACTTGATCCGAATATAAAAAATACATAAACCTATGCGCCTACCCTTGTCAGTAACTGTTCTTCTGGTGTAATTCCAGGGATTTTATGCTACAAAAATTAATAAAATCATATGAAAATATTCTCACAAACCCTTGACAATTTGTTCATCTTTACTTTCCAGAAACGAAGGCCTAATTTCTTCATGAATTGAAATATCAAAACTATGCGAATGAAACTTGTAAATAATAACTCTGATTGATGGTTAGATCTGATATAATACGTTTTACATTTCATAAAAATTTATTTACTTTGCTGATCGGGAAATGAGTCCACAGTTTACAAATTGTCACGACTTGTTAGCAAGTAGTAATGCTCGCAGATTGCTGGAAAATGGATCAGTGAATAAATCAGAATTAGGTGCTTGATTAAAATGCTTAACAATATTAAACGGTTGCTAAGTGAGAATGGTTATCCCGAAAAGTTTATTGATAAGAATATGAATCTAAAACCAAAACAGTCCAAGTTACCAACAGTTCCAAAGAAAGCCTTGTTCTTACAGATGCAGTTCCTAGGAGATAATGCAAGTGAGATACTAACACATCGCCTCAGAAATGCGGTAAAATGAGCATTCCCTGCTGCTCATTTACGCTGTATCTCTAAAACCACCCCTCTTCTGCGTTCGGGAATAAAAGACAAACTGCCTAATTTCGCCTCTTCCATGTGTATATACCAATTTAACTGCTCCTTTGGAGCCAGTTACATAGGCCGTACAATTAGGCGTGTTTCTCGTCGAATTTCCGAACATCACCCTGCCTGGTTAAGCAAAGGACAAACAAAAACTATTCGCAGCGCTATTCTGTGTGGAGACAGAACACAAGATTGACGTTAATCATGCTTTCAGGGTCATTTACCGCATACCTACGAATCTCAATTTCGCTTTAAGAGTTTGACTACTAAATATTGCTGAGGCTATGGGGATCCATATTAATAAGCCTAATTTATGCACCCAAAAGAAGTTAGTTCAGTCATTATCATTACCTTGGCCATCCAGGTTTGAATAATCCAGAATTTTTGTGAAATTTACCTAATTTTAGTTGATATTCTATTCGCTGTTATATCTTTATTATTATTATTATAATTTAAGCATCTTTAATGAACTGCAATAGCATTGATCATACTTTACAAATCGATATTATTTAAAAAAACGCTAATATTGTTATTAACTACTAATTTAAAATATTCTGTGTATATAAACATATATATAATTGTAGAGCCTGGAAGAGGAATTTATCGAAAAGAATATTCTTTGCTCGATTATTTTGTTTTATAGATGTCTGAATGAATATTTTTGCAATATTGATGTAGTGTTGTTCCGTATGAAGAGAGAACCAGTTCTGAAATTTTTTTCACTTCCTTGAAGAATTGCATATCATTTTGTTGATGGCTAATTAAATGTGTGCGTGAGTTCATGCACGATTAAAACAATAAGAAATAAAGAAGAGTTTATGCATTTTGGTGGGTGGAAACTCCAGTAGCCCAATGATTTAAGCAAGCCGCCTAAAATCCTTTGAAATTCAAGTAGAGCAAATTTCAAAATATGAGAATCTACCTTTTAAGTGAAGATAATTTGATCAAGTATTCTTGAAACTTTCCTTGATGTCATGACCCATTTGTCTCTTTCATCCCTCCAACGAACTCCTGCTTTCAGTCTCTTTCCAATTCATTGAATTCAACTAAGTTTAACAAGACATCTGAATAAGAAAACTTATCGGCTAATATAGCATCCAGTGAAACATTAGCACAGCCTTTATTTGCAGAAATTTGGTAAAGGGAGAATAAGCTACCCATGATAAATTCAGTTTTTCAGCTAAATGGCTCAACTTGCTAGACATTAACATCACCGCTGCTTATCTCCACAAGCTTAGCAAGAAAACTAGTTCTCTTGCTATGTGTCTTCTTAGTCATACTGAACGTTGGCGCATACTCATTTGTCCCCAAATGCTTTGCACTTCTCAATTGGATCTTTCTGTATTTCAGTCTTGTTTAGTCAACCACTATCAAGTAATAACTCATTTTCATTGTGTCACCGGTCTCATTTGTACAATTTAGAATATATGAGACCCCAGCAGTAGAGTGAGCATCAATCACTAGGTTTAACATCCACTCTTGACTCCTGACTGCTGACTCCATATGGTCGCTCCTTCATCACGTTTTCTTTGACGTTTTGGATGCCTAATAGTTTCTTCATTCCGGATAGAAGAATATTTATGTTGACATTAGTAACGATATATTATCACAGTTACAAATTGAAACCATCTGAAAGCTGCACTTGGTGACTTCCTTCACTTAGGCAACATGTTCTAAACATGCAGTATGATATTCATTTGCAGCACCCTGTTTGTGAGTGCATTTATCACAATGTATACCTCCTACAGTGGATGTACATTCGGACATGCCACATTCATGAGGTCGACTGTGCATTATGAATATAACATAACGAAGTATCTACACGAATCGTACTGGGCGAAAAATAAACAAACTTTTCAGTGTCACTGAAATAAAGAAGACTTAATTTTATCTATGGCGTAGGAAACTTCATCTTGTTTTTAAGTAGCGTCGGGAGAAGGTTTTTCTACCTTCCTGAATCAGTCAAGTCGACATTACACGGGAATTTGTTCCCTATAATGTCTTTTGCAGTAAATAGTAAAACTTGTCATAGTCATACAATGAAACAAACCAACTTACCGTTGTTTGAACAGTTATAACAAGAATAATTCAAATAAGGCTCTGTGTTATGTGATCTTGTCTGAAATCTATGATTTTATATTTTATAAACCTATTGCTCCAAAAACGAAATTGGAAATCATTTCAGAATAGTTTACGACTCATATTACTAGTGCTTTTATGATCAATGTAATCAAGTTAAATGTCAGTAAAATTTGTTTATACTCAATAAAACTGATGAAACTTTGCTCACATCTAAGCTCACATGAATTTGTATTGATCTACTGACACCATTGCTTTAAAATCATTTATATGTTTCAGTGTGTATTCACATAGCGCCAATGTTTAAGATACCAAAGTTCTGAGTGTACTTTAGACGTCTGTTGAGATACTAAACTCATATTGATTACTTCAGACTCTCTCTATCTCTCTGTTTCTTTATGATTTGTGGATAAGTATGCATAATTCACATGAATGATTTTTTTAATTGCACACTAGTCAGTAACTAGTGTAATGTGTCTAGTCCTATCTTCGGTGCAGACTGAATTCTAGTGCAATCTAGTTTGCAATCAAAAATATCCAATACAGTCCTACAGGAGGTCAGCCGCGATCCCGAATAGCTCAGTGGCCACGTCTCTGACTGCAGCACTGAGTGACGCGGGTTCGAATCTCGGAAGGGACATCAGTTCCTTCAAGGTTGCAGATGCGCCTTGCTGATGAGTGCCAACTAGCACGAAACCTAGGTGCAAGCACGGCTTCTTGCCGATTGCCTCCAACCATCTAATACCAACAATTCACATGAATGAGTTAATCGTTTTCTGACGGCACGCAAATTTTGTTGTAAGGTATGATTTTGTATTAATGGTTGAAGGCAGAATCTTCTGAGATGAGGAGTGCTAAGTTGTTTAGAGTATGCTTAAAATATACTTCCTCATTCGAAGTAATAAGCAGCAGTTGATGGGCCGTTATTTCTTAAGTAAGGAGGAAAATCTTTAAGTGACCCAAAGAAATTTGCCTATCAGTTCAAATAAGATGTATTACATGCGGTCACTGTACTGCAACATGATATTATTTCCAGTTTACATCTCCCTAGAGATCTCTTTGAAGGAAATCAATGCTAAATTAATTACAATTACACCTTTAGAGCTTCTCTGTCACCTGAGAGCTTGATGAAGCCTTCGAAAAGAATACTCTCTTTTCATTAATTATAATTATTTTTATTATTACACTAACTGACATCATGCCTGAAGGTAAGACATGCAATTACATCATGATAAACGATTTGTGAGACTATCTATGTCGAATATTATTCCAAAGTTTGGTCACAGAGGCTTGTGTAACTAACATAACACACCAGTGTAGATCAATGAAAGTCTGAATCGCGAGTAAAAAGATTTTTCGAGACGAATAACTGTGATATATGAGTAAGATTTCATTATTGTGACAGTATGTAGTTTCAAGTGGTTTGTCTACTGGATATATCACGCACAATAAATCGGTATTACTTACTGGATGACATTTCGAAAACACTATAGAGTTCATAACCAAATAATTTGTGACGGTGCATCTTCGAAACTTGTGTTTCATATTTGTCATTCTTCTTCTTCATAGCAAAAACAGAGGTGGAGGCACATAGTAACCATTTAAAATCTCGACTCACCAATACCTTTGACCTAAATTATCAACCAATCTACTTAAAATTAGTTAATGAAGAAAAACAGGTTAGTTTCGATATCCTCCGTTTATTTACGCAAATACAAATAAATATGTCTACAGAATAGGTCGCGAACGAACTCAATCCTGACCAGTAATTTAGGCTTAGAAGCAAAGTACCACTGCACGAAATCAAGCTAGGAGTGCAAGTATACCTCCTGACTTAATTAATTAATTTTCCAAGAAAAGATATACAAACTTAAGAGGTTTCCATGGGGTCACCAATATTCCCAATATTGACAGATATTTTTATAGATAGGTGGAAAAACTTAGCGACTGAAAAGTCCATTCCCTACCTTACTGTATGACTGAGGTATGTAAATTACACATTCACGGTGCTAAAATCACAAGAAGTCGACAGAGAAATAGGAAAATGCTTGCAATTAAGGAGGCTTACGCAATTCAAGTTTATAAACTAGGTCTCTGTGTTCCGATGGGAATGGCAGTCACTCTGAATCTATCATAGTAATTTTTTTTTGAATAAAGCGGGGACGACAGTGGTTTGTGCAGAATAACATGGTATCATTACTTATTTCGTTGGCTGCTCACCAGATGCTTACAAGCCAAATAAATTGATAGGTTTATGAGTTCAACTCAGTACATTGTTACCTAATTTATTGGTCACTCATCATCATACGCAACTCTCGTCCTTATTACGTAACTTCTCTGACATTCTATACATACATTTACATTGTTTAAACTTAAATTGCCTGTGTGCAAACCATATAAGCGTTACTTTCTGAGCACTGTTTACTAAGTTTGGGACC